TCACACCCGCGGGCTGCCCTTGTTGCCAACAAGGCTAAGGGCAGCGACTGCGGGTGGTCGTCATGCCCCCCAGGCTACAGGGCCGTGGGTCATTCATGGCAGAAAGGATGTGGACAAGTTTGAGAGAGGGCCCCGGAAGGCAACAAAAATAGTGAGGGGGCTGGAGGACATGATGCATGAGGAGAAGTGGAGGGAACTGGATGTATTCATTTATCCCGAAGAAGAGGAGACTGAGAGGATGTAATAAAGCCTTCAACTGTCCGAAGGCAAGAGGGTGGAGCTGGACTGTTCTCGGTGGCAGGTGGCACAACAAGGCGCAATGGTCTGAAGTTGCAGGAAGGGAAGTTTACATTAGCTATTAGGAAGAATATTCTCACCAAGAGGGTAGTAAAGTGCTGAAACAGCTTACCCAGACAGGTTGTGAATTGTCCATGCGTGGAGGTTTTTAAGACCCAGCTAAACCAAGCCTTGTCTGCGATGATGTAGTTGGGGCTGGTCCTGCTTTGAGTGGGGGTGGGGTGGACTAGGTGACTCCCAAGGTCCCTTCCAGCCCTCACTTTGTGATTCTATAACGAGCCTTGAGGTCAAGTGACGCCCTTAGCACTGCCTGACTAGACATGCTGCTGCCACTGCAGGCATTTGGTTTTAAACTGGGTGGAGCAGGAATCAGAGAGAGGTGCATCCATCTGTCGCACCCTCCCCCATCTGCCCCTGGGGAATTTGCCAGCCAACCCCCACTTGCTACCCACAGAGGCGGTACATATGGCTGCACAGACCTGGAGTCCTACGGCAGGTCATAGGAGCAGGTTAGACAGGCCTTGTTGACGATGGTTTTAGTCAGGGGCAGATCCAGGGGGTGCAGTAGTATAGTTGCTTCCCCTGCCTGTGATTCCTGCTCCACTCAAACTTTGAAACCAACTGCCTGGCAGTGGCAGCAGCATTTCTGTTTGGGCAGCAGTGATTTTGTGGCTTATTATAATCTACCCGATTGCTTCTAAACTCTTCGTTCCACAGGTGTTAACAGCTCTCTCTCCTTTTCTAATCATCTTAAGCTAATCAAGTAATCTCTTTTCTGCAGTTCTACTGTCTGTGTTAGCTGCTCCTGATAAAGTAGGTCCTATTTCATAGCTCAGCTGACTGTTTTTAACTCTGTCGCAGGAGTAGGCAACCCCTGGCACACGTGCCAGAGCTTGGTACACAAAGATGTTTTGCTTGGCACTTGCACCTCAGGGAAGGGGCAGGGAGCTGCACTGCCATAATGAGGATCAGGCCCCTTGCGGCTTCCCTGCTGCCTGCCCCAGCACATCAACATCTTACAAGTCAAGGTTGTGAATGCTTTTGCACTCTGCCCAAAGATGTTGCTGATCCCTGCATTAGCTACAAACATTAATTCATGTGAACATTAATACAGGTGTGGAAACACCTTTCCATGAGGCATTGGATGCACTGTCAGGATGTTCAAGAAAACTGGAATTTTTTTTATGAACCTGAGAGAAATATAAATTCAATTCTAATGGCTGCAGGATTAAAGAAATGACATTGTTTGGTTATTTTTGCCTAGTTTGTTGGGTTTTGAATACATAATGTACAATCTAGCAAATGAGTGCCCATTCCGTTTAAGTTGTATTCGTTTTTACTTCGATCTTAAACTGAATAATATATATTTTAGGCCCCTGGCATATTACTAAAGCTTCTAATTTCTTTTTACCTGAAGAAAAAGTGTGTGTTGTGGTGTATATACAATAACTCCCCACACCATCTACACCCCCCCCCCCCTTTTTAAAACCCTAGATCTGCCCATGGTCAGGGATGCTTCTGCCTTGAGCAAGGGGGGTAGAATAGATAATCTCCTTAGGTCCCATCTGGCTCTACTTGCCTATGATTCTAAGACAATTTAGCAAATATTATACATTCTCAATTAAAAAAAGGATTCTGGTTTTGGTCCTAAGAGGCCCCAAAAGCCCACAGACCTACTGCCAAAAGTTACTGAATTGGCTGTTTCTAATCCCACTATCTTCCCCATTCACTAATTTTTGCCTAACAGAATGCATGGCTTCAGACTACTATAGCTAATGACTTCTCCATCATAAAAGTGGTTAAAACTGCCTTCGTTTCTGCCTTCTTCTTGTCCGAAATGTAGTGACCACCTGCTAGAGGTCTGTGGGTGCTGCATAGTATTCCAAGTATGGCATAGGCTCATGCTGGCAAATCCGCACAGGCCTGGGGAAAAAAGGGGCACTAGAAAAAGGATGTTCACTTGAATGGGGGGAGAAATTTTCTGCATTATAATAGTTACAAAAAAGGAAAAAAAGAAACAAAAACAGTTCCCACAGTTGAGAGCATTAAAAGCAGAGATTTATTATAATGGGATTATACTGTATGTTATGGGCCCTGGTAACCAAGAGGAAGTAAACCAGGCCTCAAGCTGTTTTGAAATATATTTTTCTGTAGTTACCTGCTATATTCTTTAATTGGCATCTTGCAAGTTTCCCAGCTCAGTGGAGGGGAGTGAGGCCATGGGCAGGTACAGGATTTTGAAAAGGGGGTGCAGAGGGTGAGGTGCAACATCACATATAAAGCAACATATTTTTCTCCAGCTATAAAGAAACTAGAAACTTTAGTAATATGCAAGGGCCTAGAGCCATATTATTCAGTTTACAATTGAAGCAAAAGCACATAGAACTTCATTGAATGAGTGAAAAACAATCTGCAGGGCAGTCAAATAAGAGCTTCATCACCAGGAGCAAGAGTCAGCAGAATTATAGAACAAAAAATAGCTTGATTGGTGGAACATCAGGGCCACTGAAAAAAAAGAGAGGGTTATTAACATCTGTGGAATAGAGTTTAGAAGGGATCAGGCAGATCAGTGTTTCCCAACCTTTTCCAGCCCAAGGTACTTACATAAATAACTTTTTCCACGGCATACCTGTCAAGGCATTTCCCATCCCCATACTTATGAGCTCACTGTAGCAGAAAAATTCTGCAGCACAGCTGGTCAGAGGTTTGCAACCTGTGCATCCCCCACAGCCAACACATGCACAGTAGATGAATTTCCTTTTGCTCGGCTGGTTCTCTCTCTCCCCCAGAGTCAAGACGTGTGAGTGTTTTGTGAATATCTCATCAGCACGGCTTATTTGTTAGCGCTGGGTGACTGGAGAACTTTCTTCTCATTATTCTAAAATTCTCACAGCATGCCAGGGAGCTATTTGCAGCACACTGGTTGAAAAGCACTGAGGTCCATTATAAGGAGCCACAAAGTCAATTGACTCCCTCAGCACTGCTGGATCAGAAATGCTGCTGCCGCAGCCAGGCAGTTGGTTTTAAACTTTGGGTGGAGCAAGAATCAAAGGGCAAGTGCACACCCTGGATCTGCCCCTGCATAGGGGAGGGGGAGGAGGGTGGAGGAAAGGTGTGAGGCAACAATGAAGTTTGAGGACTGGGAGACTAGATGTCATTTGGCTGTAACACATGCTCAATTTTAGCTTTCTTAGAGCCTCCCCTCAAGAAGCAGATGTGTGCCAGAACAGCTGGGTTCCAGTGGTTTGAGGATGGGCCTCTAAGTTAACATTGGTACTCTTTTCAGTCTTTCAGATCCTAGGAATGTCCCAATGGTTCCTGCCTCTGTTTCATTGAGTGTTGAAGTACTTATATAAAATATATTTTATATTATTGAGTGGAGTCTTGAATCCAGGTCTTTGAATCATATTTACTCTTTTGTACTCATTCTTGCTCTCTCTGGCTCAGTGAATATCAGCTGTAATCTCTGGAAGTAGAACATCTTCAACAGGAGGCGCTTAGAGAGCTTCATACCAAAATATCTTATAACCTGGTGACTAAAACTTTCCCGTTAGAGACATGGATTCAGTTCTCCTCAGGTGCAGGAAGGGAAGTTGAATTCAGCTGACTCACAATATGCATGAGTACTTTAACAAGCAGGCTGTTGGATAAAAATGTGTTTGTGAGAAAGGGTAGGTAGGTATGTGCTTAACTGCAGAAGCATTTTAATGGGAAATAGGCACCGCCTTGCACCTGTTGAAGGGTGACTTGAGTCTAAAAGGCTTGAGAACCACTGGTCTAAGTCCTTGAGAGTATGTCCCTATATAGGATCCTAGAACAGTAGGGCTGGAAGGGACCCCACCAGGTCATCTAGTATGTCTACAGCATCTCTTCTTCCCTCACTTCAGCATCTCCTCTCTCCATGTGTTGTACTGGAAGCCTAAGTCCCTAATTCATGGCTGTGAATTGCAGCACATGCTTCCTATGTCCTTTTGTGGGCCCAGTCCCTCCCTGCCTAACCTCTGACAAAAGCAATCTTGTAGCCAGCCATTTGGAAAGGTTCCAGGAAGAATAGTTAATTGGTCCTTACCCCACCACTCCCAGATAAGTAACATACTACTCATTCAGGGCATTACATGTGGAAACCATCATGGTTGAAACCATGTGCTGAATGGCTCAAACAGTAGTGCTTCATTTTCTATGAAATGTTAAGGTGCCTGGGGGGGCAGGCAGAAGAGGTTCCTTCAGCAGGACTCGACCCTGTGAATGCACTGGGATCTGCACAGAAATCACAGTGCTGTTGTTCACTAAGTGCTTATCTTGTGCAAACCAGAGTGTTCAGTGGCACCTAACCAAACAATTCCAGATCACATAAAAGGAGGTAAGGAGGGAGCAGAGAGAAGCTGGTGTGGGGCTACTCCGGGGGGGCAGCAATTATTTCGGGCAGAGGACTGCTTATTCAGTTTTGGCAAGCCATCAAGGGCCGCATGATAGGCAGCCAGGGGCAGGTAAGTATTGATTTTTCTAAATTTTTTAGGGGGTTCAAGGGCCAGATAGAATGGTGTGGCAGGCCACATCTGGCCCACGGGCTGCATTTTGCCCACTCTGGGCTACTGCCTGGGACTGTGATGTTCATGTGTGTTGTTCAATAATCTGTAATCTCCATGGGGGTGCTTTGTTAGTGTAGCACTGAAGCTGTTTCATATGAAATCATCTGATGTGCCTAAAGCCAAGTTGAATATAAATGTAAGTAGCCTATGGGGCAGTGGAAATTTAACCCAATGGTGTTCATCTTGTGTTTTGAGGCTTATAGCTAGAAGGTGCTGTGTAAGTGCAAAAAGTTTATATTAGTTCACATATGAAACTGCAGCTAAGTTAGGGCAAAATCTCAAAGGAAAAATAAGAATGAGTAAGTTTAATATTTCTTTTCCACTTATGATCTCATGGAGACCTTGTGACTAGAGGGGATTCTATTAGTTATTTTTATTTGTGTGGGTGTGAAATGTTTATTTCTTTTCCAATGTATTTATCGTTTATATGACAAAAATCCTGTTCTCTGTTAAGATACTGGTCATAGACAACCTCTTGGCTGGGATCATTCAGCTGATGTCACCAGGCACGATGCAGTTTTCTTTAGCACAAATAGAATCAATTCTATGTAACTGTTGTTTGTCATTTGTATTGCAGTTGCACCAAAAGCCATAGCCATGAACCATGACCCTATTGTGCTGTTGTACAAACACAGACAATTATATTTTATCATTCTGTATGACTTTTTTTTCTTCTGTAATAGCTGCTTTTTTGTTAGCTCTTTTAGCTGTGAACATGATAGCGCACTATTTTACTCAAAATAAAGCAAACAAATCTTTTCTGTCTTGGGACTCTGTGATAAGGTGTGCTGTTCCTTTGAGTCCCAGAGCTAAGTTGGTTGGTGATTTGGGCAGGAACCCTTCTCAAGAGATGCAGGATTAATGTGTTGATCTGGGAAACAGTAGAAGCCAGTTAGCCTGCCTGAAGCCTGCTTCAGGAAAAGCAGTTCAGCTGGTAGGTTGGAGAAGTGATCCTGGAAAGCATGGTATCTTGCCAGAGGAGATAGCTAAAGATGCTGAGTTTGGTTTGTTGTCTAGTCCTGGATTTCAGGTTCTGCAGTATTTCTACAGGGCCATGTTGTCTTGCAGTAGGTATCAGAATCTGGCCACATACTCCTAGGCTTCTTACTATATATAAAATAGACTCCCCGGAGGTGTCTGAGGAATAAATAGCTTGCTCTAAAAATGTAATGTGTCAAGCATCCTCTGTCCTATGGAACTGTTCATTAGCAGCATTGGCGATGCATAGGGGGTACACATAGGTGCATGTGCACCCCCCAAGATTGGCCAGGCACCCCCTGGAAACACCAGCCACGAAACTGGAAGTGCCAGTGGAAGTGCATTTCTGGTTTCACCGCTGGTGATTTTGGGCTCGGCAATCAGCTGCTGGCGGGGAGGAGAACTCTCCCTCCCACCAGATCAGTGACCTGGTGCCCCCCCCAGACTCGGGAGGCACCTGTTGCCCATGGTTAACAGGCTCACCGTGCTTTTGAGAGAGAAGTTAATGTTATAAGGATGAATTTACTGAGGCACAGAGAAGTTAAATGTCAATAGAAAAGCAGAAAATAAAATGGGGGAGACTTCCACTCTCGTTTCTTCTCCTAGCTTCCCACATCTAAATTTCCAGTTGCCACTCCAGTCTCCCATTCATCACCATCTAGGAAGCTCTGCAATAAGGTGCATGTTTTGTATGGAGTTATTTTTCCTGATGTGTTTACAATGTGACCTGTGCTGGTAAAGCTTTCTTGAAGACTTGGGAGTCAAGGTTCAGTTGACTCTTACTTTATTTTAGGTGCCTAAGTCACACCCGAGAATTTTATTCTAATTCTGTAAAGTGCCGTGCAGACCTCTAGCAGTGGGAACAGATGCTAAATTGTAGTCTGTTTCTTCTGAAAGACTCATTTGCAAACAGCACAAACTGGACTGCTCAAGGTGGCATTCTGGGTGGACTAATACATAATATGGAAAGCTAATGTATTCAGCAGCTGCTTCCTTTTCAGTTTGTTCCTGGGTTTTTTAGTGGTTGGATTTCTTAGTCTTCCCCTCATGGCATTTTTTATTTAGACTTCAGATCAGGTACTTATGAGTGTTTATAATGCCTATATTGCATTATTAAAATCCCTACTGCAGAGATCCCCCTGACATAAAAATAAAGAAGCCAGGATTGTTTATGGTGTGAGCTTTATAGGGGCTAGTGCTTACTCCACTTATTTCCAGCTTCTCTGCAGGAATCCTTCTGAATTCAGGCATTCACCCTTTGCAGGCTCCCTTATTCTCCAACCCATTTAAAAACACAGGTAAAGGGACTGTGCCTTTTGTCATAGGAGGCAGGAGTGAACTGACCTCAATAACTCTACCTATTCCATAGGTGAGTTCTTCTTTTAGCAACTTTCTATACTGCATGGTACAACCTGTTACGTTCTGTTAATCTGCCAGCATTAGTTATGCTCTCACTTTTCAGATCTTGACCTTTAACTCCCATGGAAGTCGCTGTGACTGAGTATCAAATGAATCAATAAAAATTAGTCTACACAACCATGTACAAGCAGAAAAGGGGGCTGCGTTCTCTGAATAAATTAATTAGATGAAATTCAATAAGGACAAGTGCTACACTTAAGATATAACAGTCATATGCTCAAATACTGTGGCTTGGCCAGTTATTCACAGATTCAGAGATATTTAGGGCTGGAAAGGACCTCATGAGATCATCAGGTCCAGCCCCTGCTCTGGGCAGGAAAGACTGCTGAGGTCAAATAACCCCTGCAAGGTGTGCGTCCAGTCTCCTTTTGAAGATCTCCAGGGTAGGTGCCTGCACCACCCCCACTGGGAGTCTATTCCAGAGTCTGGTCACATGAACTGTAAAGAAGTTTTTCCTTATATCCAGTCTGAAACCTTCTTCTAGGAGTGTATGCCCATTACTCCTGGTTTTCCCCTGTAGCACTTTGGTGAGTAGTTGTTTGCCTAGCCCCTGATGCTCTCCCCAATATATTTGTAAGCTACCACCAAATCCCCCCTAAGTCTTCACTTTTCTAGGCTGAACAGTCCCATATCTGTCAGCCTTTCCTCGTATGGCTTGGACTCCAGGC